AGGGAGAGAAAGGGCTCCCTGGGGCCGTAAGGTATGCTTCCCCGAATGGTTGCGGGGACGAAAGTCCCCTTTAAATTTTTTGTTTTGAACGATACTGTTTCTTTATTTTCAATGCATGCTTACTTTAAGCTACACACATATATTAGATGTAGGCCCTTTATCAGGACAATCCCAGTTGGGACTACAGAGAAAATTTAAAGGAACTTTCCGTCCCTAACCCTTCGGGAACCCTACCCTTACGGCCCCTGTGGTGCTCAGTAGTACGCCAGCGGCATTAAAAAGCGGAGAAATCCGTACGCAAAACGGGACCCCTTTTTTCGGCCGTTGTTTTTTCACTCACGAACGGGTACAGCTCGGAATTGTGTAGGTACGGGAAGGAGTATGAACGCCAACGCGTTTGGTAAGACACCATAAGCCACACAGCACGGTTTCAATCAGGTTGCTCCATTTTGTGCCCGTGCTTTTGGACGAGTTGCGTTGCCGCAGCTGGCAACGCAACTCGTCCAAATTACCAACTAAGTTAGTGGGCGGACTGCTTTTGGGGGCAGAGTGCTTTCCGAGTCCTGCTCAGCAACCAGCGCAAATTTCGTCGTTAAAGCCTTACATCTCGCTTCCGTGGCAGCCAAGTAACTGATTCGTGTGGTGTATATGCTTCCCCAACGTGCTCCCTCTTCATCGTAATCGCCGCCTTAAAGGACGAATTCACGATCAGAGGGAAAATCGAATTAGGAAGAATTCACCTGGTTGAGGGACCCGCGGAGCTCCTAAGTGTGCGAACTGAAGCACAATTTGCACAGGAGGAGTTGACCTCGTTGACCTATTAAGGTTTAATCCCGCCGCGGCTGGTCAGTGCACGCCCACCGATCATCTGATCACTCGCCGCAGGTCTATACGTGGTGAGTGATTAGATAGGTGAGAGAGCGTAGTGTTGAAGAGGGCACAGCGATGATAGTCGCATCAATGCTCAAATCAACGGGCAAGGAAGGGGTCCCATTTCTCAGGTTCTGGGCCGTTTCTCATGGTTTTTCCTTCTTTAGTGTACCACTCACCATCGCTAACTTAATTTGAAATGGGTTGCCTTTCCAGCGTGAATTCGTCCTTTAAAAGTAAAGTGTTAAGCGCGCATCTGCGCAGTCTCTATAATTTTTATATAAATAACCATTACCCCATGCATAATTTGATTATTGCTAATGAATTGTTTGCAAAAATCTGAAACATGAACAATGCGAAATGGTTCAACAATCAATAACGAATATCCTCCATGTGAAAGTGCGGGTCATATATGGCCTGCGCGCCAATGTTTTGAAGCACATCGGACGCTGAGCCATACCTCCAAATATGAACATGCCTTAGAAACAAGTTATTCAGATTTGCATCGCTATTTTCCACTTAGGAGATAATATTGCAATAGGTCAAGTGAAACGTAAACGATTTGCTACAGATTTTAAGAATCAAGACGATTCGTAAACCTCATGGCACTGTTATGAAGAAAAAAAATCGCGTACGTCACAAGAGAAGGAGGTGGAACGGAGAAATTCGGTAACACAGGTGGAGGAGCATCCCATCGACTTCTTGGAGAAAAGTTGGTTACCTAAAAAAAGACGTAGTCAGTTTCGGCGAATCGTAGCTTTGGGAATAGCTTAGTACCTGTACTGCCAATGGAGATGTGCGACTTGCTACAGTTGTAGTGACCGGGAAGTGGGAAGTCTGTGGCACGACAGATAACGGTGAAGCCTTGAATGAAAATTTTTGGTGATAGGGATTACCACAATTGGCACAATGTGACTGTCATGATGTAACACTACATACAATCAATAGAACACTACATACAATACATTCAATGACAGAGACCCTCCGTAAAAAAGCTCACCTGGGGCTGCGTGACTGATGGCATAGTTGTAGAAGGGGTTGGAAGAGTCTGCACAACCAGCGATGGGTTTGCGGGAGGAGGGTGATTGAACACAGTTGGAAGACGAGTTGCTGTATTTTGTGACTCATTCACACGACTGACAGGAGACACCTAGGTGAGAGAAAGTCAACTTGGCATTGCGTTTCTTTGATATGCTACCGATCGTTATGAAGTCACTCCGCCCTCTGTGAAATCTTGCCGAGTTCTGCTCGCTTACCTTTTTCCGAGGAAACTATAGGCTACGCAATGTCCCTGGAACATAAATTGCCCCACTAATGCGGTCACGAACTTAAAGGCAAGATTCGGGATAAAATAGGTGTGGAAAAGCGTTCAGTCATGATACTAGAGGTGGGAGGTGGTCTATAAAAGAGAAGGAAAGCAAACGAAATCACAGATTACGCCCCGTACAGAAACCTCCCCTATTTCAGCAACATTCCACCTTGGGATAGAGAAAAGGCGCGTTGGACGAGTTTCGCGAGCCTGACTCTAGTTGCTCCAGTGCCATTGACACAGGGTCGCGGTGGACCGCTGCCTCAAATGCGCCCGCGCTTTTCAAGCAGCGCCACGTGGCAACGACAGCGGAGGGTGGGGCTTGCGGACGAAGGTGTGAGTTGCAGGTCGGACGAGCTGCTTGCGCCTTTGTCGCGCACTTTCAAAGGCAAAAGGGGTGCGACAACAACACTTGTCCGCCTGCCTACTACCCCCGGGATGGAAGAGGCGAGCGCGCCTAATCGCGGAGCGTGCCTTTAACAAAATTTTCGAAAGCGTCATCGGAAGTTCAACCGCGAGGCAAACACAGACAAGGCCTCACTGGGTTAAGAATTCTGTAGCAGATCTCACCGGAATACAATCCGAAAGAATGAAAATAATACTTACTACTGATAAGGTCACGCCTCCATGCACAGGAGCTTTGTTGTTTTCGCTGCCATTAATGGAAATAGGAGCAAGCTTATCGGGCAAACTGTTCACATTGCTTGGCACTGGTGATATTTGCACAAGCCGTACCGTGGGAACTGTCGTTTGAGAAGTCTGTAAAAAAGAACGATAATCGTAATGAAAGTCCATTTTGACTATCAGGACCATGATGTACGAAATCAGTAAGGAAACAACGAAGTTTAGATGGGCTAAAGAAATAAAAAATATTTCTGAACAAAGCAGATATCCATATGACAGAAACAAGTACGGTTCTTGATACCTTATCCGAGTCACTATTCGATAGTGCAACATGAGGGACCTTGTCCGTGACAGTCGCCTGAAAAAGTTTTTTTTTTTTTTTTGAGAATCATTACAGAACTGGAGATGGCCAACAAAAATCGAAATGAATAAGTCCGGTGCACTCAAACACACCTACGGTATTGCTTTCGGTATTGTTCTTCTCTGCAGAGCTGACTGTCTGGGTACGTGTCTGGGTTCCCGACGCTGTAACAAGAACGCAGTTTTTTTTTTAAATGAGACAACAAAATATGAATTCTTAAGCAATAAATAGTGCACTAAGCTGGGCATCTCTAGTGAGGAAGCGTTTTAAACATAATTACGCTGACATAGCTACACGAAGAAATAGCGTATCTGTAAACATAACAAGCAAAGTAGAGTGTGTACAGGGGAAGGCAAAAAAAGATTTCAGAAGGACCCATTGAATATGATCAAGAACTTCATGGTAGCTACACAGGCGATATGAGAAGAATTTGCGATGGCAATCCAGTGCAAGATTTGGGCTAAGGCCTCCTTAAACTGGACATCGATCACGAATAACCTCATATTCTCGAACAATGGGAGGCGCCAACAAGGGTTTGCCTTTGTATACGGTGTGACATTTCAGTGATATTCTGCCGCAACACTTCCATCAACGACGGCACTCTCAACGAAAAATTTACTGATAAGCGCTATATGCAAAGAGTCTCATCCAACACCCCTTGAATCCCAAGAGGACCTGTGTACTCATTTGGAGAAGATTATATAGGAGAATAGAAGTGACTACTCTTTGGTCAACGATGACTAACGAAATTCGAGAGTGCAAGTTAATGCTCTACGACATCTTGAGAAGCTGAATCCAATTACTACGGTCATGGCAGACTTTCGCAATGAAAAACTTCTACATCAAACCCTGACTCGGCAGACAATAGATTCAATCCTTCTATTTATAAAGCGCTAACTTGGTGTGTCGGTTTGTATGTCTGTGTGTATGTATGTCTGTGTGTCCGTCCGCAAAATGAAGTGAGTGAGAAGGAAGCTCATGGATAAACAAACCGCTAACAAATCGGGTAGCTTACAGGATTTGATATCAATGTTTTGTAGCAGGATAGTTGTGATAACACTCCTAGGGCTATATAAACACCTGCTTAGCACACTTCCGGTCATTCCACATGGTGCTGCAGTGGCAGCTGGAGGGCAGTGGAGGGAGGAGAGGATGGGGAGGGAGGCGAAAAACCAATCACCAACAGACTTAAGGTGCAGTTAGGTATTGATATGTCATTCTACCGTCATGTCATGATTATGGCGATGCCCCCACTATATGAAACTCCTTTTGTTGCATACGCGTCACCTCCACGAGGTGTTGGTGTCACAGGTGGAAGGGACCACAGCGGAAGGCGGAAAGCTTACGCAGGAGAAGGAAAGGTCCCGGCGGTTGACGGGGGACCAATGTGGTGATTACACAACCTGTCTACCCGACGGCCAGGATGCTTATCAGGAATACCACCCAGCAAAAAACTGCGAGACTAGACTAAAGACGTTAGATTTTCCCCCTGAATAACTCTTGCCACACCTCCATCTATGGTAAGTGCTGCTTATCGTAATCAACGCGGCACTTCGTGAAAGAGAAACAATTTAAAAGACTACAAAAATTTCTGACTTCGGAATCCAAGTTCGCCTGCGCACAACTGCTACAATACTTCAAAAAGAACGTCGAGTCTTTGTGTGGAAAATGGCGAAGCCTGACACATCCAGGTGGTTGCGACTTAACCA